CATGGTTGTATTTGAAAAAAAAGGCAAAGTGGAAAAGAAAATTATTTGGATATATAATGGATGAAAATTTTCATAACTTAACAAAAAAAATGTTTTGCAAATTTAACAAACTGTGCAAATCCTAAGGAGATTAAAAAGAAAAAAAAGAACATATCTAAGGGCTGGGGAGATGGCTCAGTGGAATAAGTGCTTCCCTGGCAAACACAAGTACCTGAGTTCAATCCCTGGTTCCAGAAAAAAAAAAATTATTAAAAAAAAGAACATATCTAGATACATCAGAATCAACTGCTAAATAAAAATTTAAGAAAAACTCTTGAAAGCCAGAAAAATAAAGGACATAACATTTACATTGGACCAATGATAAAATGACTGACAGCAGCATCAAACAATAGAAGCTAAAAACAAAGACATTCATGAAGGCAAAAAAATTGCCAATATAAAATTCTATATCCAGCAAAATAGCCTTCTGAAGTGAAAGCAAAACAATCTTTTCAATAACCAAAAGCTAAGGTGATTTGCCACCAGCAAAACTATATTGAAATTTATAATAAAATTTTCAAACTAAAGGGAACTAATATTAAATGAAAACCTGAATCTTTAGAGAAAAAGCAGGGATTGGGGGAAATATTTAACATATGGGTTCTTTTCACTAGCTGAGGACTACGAGCTGCAGAAAAGACAACTGATTGTTACAAACGATATAAAATGGCCTTCTGCAATGTGGAACAAACAATACAATGCTTTATGCATTCCTGTGATTTGGGGAGGGGACATGACAGAAAGCATGGAGACCATTCTTTGAGTCAGAGATATTTGGATTTTTTCCAGCTGCTGGACAGACAGGTAGATATTACTGAGGAAGGAGACAAAGTTCTACCACATGTCTCTTGTCAGAATATATGGACAAGAGACTAGAATTACGCTACAGTCACAATCATTGCAACTAAGACTTTTCTTCGCTTATTTGTCAAAGACGTTAAATTGATGGCAATGATAAGCACAAAGGATAGTGTTTATTTAATGTATTTAATACAAGGTCTAGAGGGTCTCACTACACAGACTGGACCTGTAGTGATCCTCCTGTTATTAGCCTCCCAAGGGCTGGGATTACAGGGGTCACCACCACGCTCAGGCTCAATCAAGTGTTGGTGTTCCCTGGTGGGGGGGTGGTAAGGCATGCCAGGGATCAAACCCCCATCCCTGTACCTGCTGAACTATCTGGCTGGCACCAAAGGATGACTTTTAGACAATCCTTGCAACGGGTGAAATTTGTTTGGTGTGTTTGAACTATCCCCAGTGTTGGGGACTGAATCTAGGAGTACTCTACCACTCTACAGCACCACCTCTCTTTTAATTTTTCATTTTGAGACCAAGTCTCAATAAATTGCTGACTTTGTAGTTGTAGCACTCCTGCTTCAGCCTCCTGAGTAGATATGATTGTAGACATCAGCGCAATGCCTAAATTAGAGCCTGTTTTTCCTGACCCATATTTTTGTTCTGCCTATGAGACTTGCTTTGGGCAACAAAACGTGCTGGGAAAGATAGTGTTATGTGAATTGTATCTCCCAGAAAAAGCGCACGTGGAAGATACACAAAGACAAAGAGGAATAATGCTTCCACAAGTTCAAGAATGCTAAAGATTTCTAGAAGCTATAAACATTCTTCTCCACAGCCTTCAGAATAAAATAATCCCTCCTGCATCTTGATCTTGGCCTTCCAACTTCAAGAAGATATATATTCTTTGTTTGTTGTTGAAGTCCCTGTTTTGTGATACTTTGTTAGGGTATTCCTAGCATACTAGTACAAGTAGTAATGAGGAAGAAATTAGTCTTTTCCTATCCATTAGTGGACTATAAATCCTCACATTGTGGGTTAAATGTGAGACAGCGGTTACCTCTCCATTCTCTATTCAGAATTTGGTGGTGTTTATTTTTCCAGACAATATGAACAAAAAGAAGTGTTGTTTGAATTTTCATTAAGAAATATCCCATTACAGGCCAGCCAAATAGCTCAGCAGATTAAAGTGCCTGCTTAGGCAGATGCAGCGACTGGAGTTCAATCCCTGGCATGCTGCGTGGTGCCGGCGCTGCCCCCAGGGCACCCTGAGATGGTCATTGAGACTGGGCATGGTGGCATGTGCCTATAATCCCAGATCCTAGGAGACTAAACACAGGAGAACCACTACAAGTACAAACTATATAATGAGACCCTGTAGACCTTACAAAAAAAAAAAAAAATCCAGTTACAAGGTACTGTACTATATTGATAAATATCTTTGTCAAGGTAGTAATATGAAGCCAACCATGGTAGTATACCCAGTATTCCCAGCACTTGAGAGGCTGAGGCAGGAATTGTAACTTTAAGATCAACCTGGACTACGTAGTGAGACCATGCCTCAAACAAAACTAAACTAAACTAAGCTAAACTGAACTAAATTAAACTAAACTAAACACAATTAATAGACCAGATTGAGACACATAATAATATTTTGGGATCTCAGTTATTCACCATATGCTTCTCTAGTAGCTGTTTCCACTTCACCAGTTAGAAAAATATAATTCCAATGTCTTTCTGGCAATAAAGACAGACTAAGTAAGGAATAGACTGTATATCCTAAAATGCAGGGTTTGGAACTCTTCACAGTTGTAAAGGAAGATGACTTCAGAAATTTATCAGCTGATAATCACTATTTGCTTTTGTGTTTTTAATAGGTATTCCATAGCCAAGGAGATCAATCCACATCTCAGAATCAGCCAACTGCAGATCAAATATATTTGGAAAAAATGGCTGTATTTAATATGTGTATTTTTTTCATTTGTTTTTATTCCCTAAGCAATACAATATAACAACTACTTACATTGTTTTAGGTATTTTAAGTAATCTGACAATGACAAAATATACAGCTACATGGGGAGAAAAGATGGGAGGGAGGCTGGCTAACATGTACAGCAGTGCAGTTGGATAGAGAACTTCTAATATTTTCTAACACAATCAGTAACTGTAGTTGACAACAATTAGCCAAGTATTTCAAAATTGCTAGCACAGAGGCCAAGGAGATAGCTTGGCAGTCTAAGCACCTGCCTGGCAAGTGCAAGGATCTGAGCTCGATCCCCAGTACCACTGCTGTGCTGGCCCCGTACAGAGCTGGCCACCAAAACCTGGTGTGGTGGCACATGCCTATAATCCCTGCACTGGGGATGCTGAAACAGAAGGACCACTATGAGTCTGAGCTGCATAGTGAGACTCTGTACCAAATAGATAGATAGATAGATAGATAGATAGATAGATAGATAGATAGATAGACAGATTTTTTTTAAATTGCTAGCACAGAGGACTTTGATATTCTGAAAACAAAGAAAAGACATGTCTGAGACAATAGATATGCCAGTAACACTAATCAGCTCATCCATATTATATAACATGTCATAATGTCATATTAAATCCTACAAATATGTAGACTTGTTATATGTTAATTACAAATAAAAATAAGTTTAAAATAGTAATACTAAATTATACAGGAAGAAGTACATAGGCTACATGCAGATACCATGGCTATGCAAGGTTGGGTGCCCACACACTTTGGTATCCAAGGGGAGTCCTGGTTCTATCCCCCTTGAATACAGAAGGATAGCTTTATGGGCCACCATTTCCTAGGTCCTGGATATTATTTTATGTCAACACCTACCTCTGATGACATCCCAACTTAAGAGACAGTAAAGGAATTTCTGATTCATTTACCTTCTGCTGATATTTGCCTGCTATCCCCTATCCCCAATTAGATCACGACAAGCTTATTGACTTTTGATAAGTTGTTGCCTTACTAACAATACTCACATTGCCTACATACCTTCCATGCATTTCTCTTCCTCCAGTGAAATGTTGTTTTCTAAATCCTTATAATTATGTTCTTCATCAGAGAAGCCTGTGGTTTTTGAATAAGTACTGTCCTCTTCATCACTGTACACAATGTATTCTAGGTCATCATAGTGCCCCTCTTTCATGGTGGTTTCTGCATCTTCAGAATATCCAGTAGATTCTTGATATTCCCCTTTGCCTAAGTGCAGAGAATCATCTGCCTCCTCATATCTTCCTCCACCCCTTAAAAGTGTGATAGTTGTTGGAAATTGATATTCAGCTTTCTCAGCTGTTACTTTTGTTGTATCATATGCTTCCTCCTTTTCTCTAAAGGACAAAGCAGTTTGCCTAAGACTACTTTTCTTGTCCTTGGAGAGATCCAAGCTCTTCAAATCTAAGTGTTCTTTCTCTATGGAGGACCGAAAGACCTCAGGGTTCTCAGGCTTTTTCTTTCTGAGGGAAGAAGTATCTTGTGAATTCTTGCTTAGTCCCTCAGACCAACATGATGCTATACTCTCATGTTTTAAAAATTCTGAAAAGAACAAGATTTGGTTATTTGTTTTGTTTGACTAGGAATAATACAAAGATATTATAAGTTAATGAGTTTTAAGTCCTCAAAACATCACCTCTGCGTTTTCTTTTTTAAGACAGGATCTCACTGTACTGTCCAGTCTGGCCTACAATTTCCAAGGTTAGGAGATCTATCATTCTGACTTAACCTGAGAAGCTCAAGTAATGTAGGGCTACAATTCCTCTTCCTCATTTCATTGGAAGGTAAGAATACCTGCTGCCTCCTACCTAATTTGTATGACAAAAAGTCAACCATTAGCACTATTTCCCACAGAAGAAAATCAGATGGTACAACTGCCATGCTCAAAAGTTTGTCTCTCATGGAAACCTTACAGGAGAAATGAATGGAAAAAAGATTTTTCAGTCTTACAAAGTGTTCCCTTGTGAACTTACTGTGACCTACGAGTCAGATTTCCTGGGACCATTGTTAATGAAATCTGATCTGAATAATCCCTAATTGATAAACAAAGAGCTGCAATCTAGAAGAGTACATCCTAGAAACAATGAAACCTATTCTTCTTTCTGAGTACATTATCTCAACCAACATTAGGGATCATCAAGATTCACTTTTTAATTGGAACACCTATTCCTTTAAATCTCTTTAAAAATTCTAACTTTTAAATTCACCTTTTTAAAAAAGGAGTTACAGCTGCCTCTAGTGGTAATTTCCACCATTTTTTCCCCATGATTTTATTGAGAAACAAATAGCAAGGAGACAGTTTCAAACCAATTTCCACAATTTTAAGCAATACATTCTGAAATAACTGCTCCCTCATTGGCTACTAGTTATTTTTGAACCATCTATGGCTTGGTATTTGTATACATGTCAAATTAGCAGCCACAGAAGATTTTAAAATGAAAAGAGTTTAACATAACAGATATGCCCATATCACTGACCTCACCTGTACACACTGTATACACATGAAAATATCCTACTGAATCCCATAAATATGTAGAGTTATTATGTGTCGATTAAAGTGTTGTTAGGTAAATAACGTTTTAAAAAAGAATTAGTATTTGAATTGCTTCAGTAAACTAAAATTCTGTTGATACTCTTGTCAGAGAAAAATAAAATTACTTACATCCATCTATGTACGCTAAAAAGCATTTTTCCTGTATTTACAGAGTGGCCACCTCAGGTAAAGATGCTGGTTGAGGTTTTGCAATTGTTAACATCTATGAATTTACTTACTTGAAAAAAGAAACCTGACTGTGCCACTATTAACTGTGTTCTTCTAACTGTAATGTAGCAGTTCAGGCTGTTACTGCCAGAACAATGAGCACTTTATTGTAGCACTAAAACAATGGAAAGTTTTGGTACAGTCTGAACAACAAAGTACCAGCCCCCTAATCATTGCTTCTTGCTTTGTTAATGCTGCCCACCTTCCCTAGCAGATATTTCAGTGAAAATTGTCGCCAGGAAAAAGACAATCAGAAAAGCTATTCCCTCTTTCATAAACCCCATAATGTTATTTTCAACTTACCGTGACTTAAGCCCAAAATGGTAGCAGACTCTGGAAAAATACTCAGTAAGCACTGAAGAAAATTGTGATAGCTCACTTCTCCCTTTTTCTGTACTAAAACTAACAGCTTCTGGTTCTTCTTCAGGGGATCCGCAACTTTCTCTAGCGTCTCATATTCATCCTCAGAAATCAGCCTCCAAGAGGTTAACTTGTCTAAAATACAACCAGGATCTTCTTGGAGGATTTTAAGCAACTCTTCTTGTTGCTTTTCTAGGACCTCTAAGGGAGCACTCCCCATAGCCATTATGTCTGCTTCCTCAAGACCAGGAAATGAGGTCATTCTGATAGATGGACAAATAAAGAGTGGAGAGAGAGAGAGAAAAAAAAAAAAAAAAAGATATGAAACCAAGAAATTGAAATGGAGCCTTAAAAATCAGGAAGTTAGAGTTAGGCATAGTGGTGCATGTGCATGCCTGTAATTCCAGCACTGTAGGGGGCTGAGGCAGGAGGAGAGAATCATCCCAATTTAGCAAGACCCTGTCTCAAGATTAAAAAAAAAGAAAAAAAGAAAAAGTTGGGGTACAGTTTAGGAATTTTTAGCAAATCTATTAGGTTCAATCCCTAGTACCATAAAAAAATAAAAAGTAGCGGGGGGGGGGGGGAAGAAAGAAAAACAAGAAGCTCTTTCTCTAGCTTCCTTATGCAGAAAGACAAACTTCCACCCTAGTGCTGGTGCCAAGAAAGTTTCAACAGGCTCAGTCAGACTTTCACCACTTCTCTGGGCCTGCTGGTGTGCTAAATCCTGGCTGAACCTACATATACCTTTTTTTGGCTTTTGTCCTACCCCTCCTATTAAAGTGCGTTTGTTCTTGGGATGGACACAGGAGAAGATAACTACCCACAATTTAGCTGAACTGTGAGTAACTTTTCTGTTTTTGTGGGCTTCTTGGTGGTGGCTTGGTGAAGGAAAATAGATTAGTGGGGATTTAAATTTAGGCCTTTGGTCAAGCCCCTGGCAACAAACTGTGTCATTCTATATACCAATGATAAAATATGTCAACAATACATATTTGCAGTAGAGGAAGTGGCAAATACAGGGTGACACACACAGTACCCAGTATGGAAATCCAGCCTTGAGCACTCTGTGTCCCTAAGGATTATTTATCTACAGTTCCCTAGGTGGTTTCTCTCTCTCTCTCTCTCTCTCTCTCTCTCTCTCTCTCTCTCTCTCTCTCTCTCTCTC